TCTCTCTCTCTCTCTCTCTCTCTCTCTCTCTCTCTCTCTCTCTCTGCGACATGCATGTGGCCACTACTGAAAGAGGACCCCTAAAGATCGATCATCATTAACCGTACAAGAGACGGTCAACGACACGCTAACCTTCGAACGGTACTGCTAGGCTGCTAGCGAGCACACATTGCAAACCTCAACTCAGAATACACTGGTAGATGTCACAAGGTGGACGATGCAAAAAAAAAAAAAAAAAAAAATCATGACGCCCGCCGTGCGGCGCCACGGAACTCCTCTGTGCCCTGCGAACAGCTCGTGGTGGCTGTGCCGTGGTCCGTGGGCGGGAATTCGCCTGTTGCAGGACGGCTGGTACAGTTACCACGGGCCAGATGGGACTCCCGCACAAGGTCAGCTATGACTTTCCACCCGTATTCCATCTTCTGCGCTATCAGCTGCGCACAATCTCGCTGCACAGCGGCAGCAGTTGAGGATTGGCGGTCGATGGCGGATACGGTCAGCTCCGCACACTTCAATGTTGTGTCTGTGTGGTGCTTCAAAGCACCAGTCTGTGCCTGCATCCACGATCCCAATTCTTTGAACGACTTCTTTCGTGCGTTTTGGGCAGTCCGTGCCCTCTTGTATGAGGGGGGTGGATCACTGTTGCCTGCTCCCTGTGCGGGGGCAATGTCAGAAGTGGCAGCAGATGCTCCTTGTGTGGGGGCACTGTCCGAAGCCGCAGCAGGTGCTCCCTCAGCGGGAGCACTATCCGGTGAGGCTGCACCTCCGCCCGATGCACCACCAGGCGGGCAGCTCTGCCCCTCCTCGAATCTGGAACCCGGATCTTCGCAGTTGCTGGGGTGCACAGACTTGTCGTTCCAGTAGAACACCTCAAGCAGGTCGAACCAATCCTTGCGAAGTATGAAATTGAATCCCTTATCATTGCGCTCTGCTGAGGTTATCCTCCAGTAGCTCTGGGCCCCGCTTCCCCTATGAAGGGTTGTCACTTGTCTGTACGTGGACCATATGTTGCGCCACCTGGTCCGGCATTCAAGCCACGTTTTTTTGAAACCTGCAGCAGTCAAAGTGTTTGCAATCTCCACCCAAGCTTGCTTAGACGTGCGACCATTGCCCATATCTTCGGAATTTATGGCACGTGCAACGTACCGCTCACCTTTTGCACATATAAGTGTCATGGTGTCAAGATGGGCCCAATCCCCTCGTTTGCGGGTGCGTGCCGCTCCCTGGGAACCATCAGCATCCAACTGGGTTGTTTCTCGTTGCGACGACAATGGTTCTTGGCTGCCATTACAACCCTCCTGTGTGCTATGAACCCCATGCGGTTCGGTGCCCTCGTCTGCTTGTGATCCTATCCCGTGGCCATCATTTTCGTCATCTGCTTCATTGTCTCTGTTCGGCGAATGCACGAGAACCGTGTCCCCAGATAAGATGTCGTTGCCGCCCCAGTCGTTGTCTTGCATATACAGGTCAATATTGCAATCGACCTGCCCACGTGACGCGGTGTTTGCAATCCCCCCACGGTCATGACGCGAAGGCACTGGAGACTGGATTGCAGTCCACTGCATGCCAACCGCGGGATCTTGGCCACCTCCGCACGCCTGCATACCTGCTGGCCCCGCCCCACCCGGGGGATTTTGTGGACAGGGACGTCCACACGCATCGCCGCAGGCCCCCCTTTGCGAACCACAAGCCCCCCCCTTGTCACCACCACTCTCCACCGGCACACACATGGCCGCACCGGCACTTCCGCCGAAGGCCTCCGCACCCCCCTGATGTGCGTCAACTGAGTCAGCACCGAAAGGCTGGAATGCACTAAAAGCTCTACCTGCTGGCAACATCACGGGCCCTGTCCACCTAGACGCGATCCCGGCAGACCCCGCCCCTTCCGTTGCCGAAGCGAACCCTTGTGCTGTCGTACAAGGCGGCGTCAAACAGATGTCGGCGAAGGAATCAACCAGGCCACCACATCTGCTAGAGGGGGACGACATGAAGACAGGCCCAGAGGGCGTAGTCAACCCTTTGCCACGGCCAGGTGCTGGTGATACCTGGCCTCCCACCGGCGAAGGTCCGCAGGCAGTCTGTCGGGAACCCGGCCGACATCCCACAAACCGCCACCTGCTTCGTTGACCATTTGCCTGTTCAAACCCCTCTGAGCTGGCAGCGAGGAACCCCTCCTGCCTTCGGCGGATCTGAAAAACGCAGGCGGCAAGGCTCCACGACCTCCAGTGTTGTTAGCACTAGCAGGCAGCCCGTCTGCTTGCATCGCCCTTGCCACCAATTGCTGCCGCAGCGTGTTGATGTACTCTGTAGATGCATCAGAAAGTTCCAAAAAAGGGAGCGGCGGCATGAAAACATCATCACAAGCCGTGGGTGCTGACGCCATCCTTCTCAGACGGTCACTGCCAATGTGCTGCACCTGTTCCCAACAGGAACCCTGACTGCTTGCCATTGCTTGCAATGGCCCTCACTGTGTGTACAGCTACACACGAGAGAGAGAGAGAGAGAGAGAGAGAGAGAGAGAGAGAGAGAGAGAGAGAGAGAGAGAG